CTATTATGCAATTGGAAGGTTCGCCCTTCCAATCACGGTGACCGGTTGCGGAGGTTTTTCTCCCTGAAGGCAAGCTGCGCGACAGCCTCTGATTCCTTCCGAGGGTTTTTCCCTGCCGCCGCTCCTCGGCCATTTCCCTTGCTTGGTTACTGGAGCATGGGACTGCGGAAGCAGCGTTGGCCGAAAGCGAGAGAATTCTGACCGGTGAAAACCAAGGGTTGACCATACCGCCTATGTTTCCGCTGACGGAATGGGGGCTTCGACACGCAGCGCCTTCGAGCCGATGATATGCTGGATGGACATGTGGGAGGACTGATCGTGGGATCTGGACCCTGGGCACTTGTAACGGCGTGCTCAGTGACACCTACCGTCGAGGGTAGGAGAGCCGCCTCCGGGGATCGAGCCTGACAGCTCGCCTTTGCGAGGCCCTGCAGGTTGCATCGGGGCCAGGTATGCTGTGGCGGAATTTCCAGGTAGTGTAGCTCAGCACGTCCTGTGCCCCGTCTCGGGGACCTGAGCGACCTAAAGGTCGCTGGACGAAAAATACAACAAACAAACAAACAAGACCATGTAGTTACCGAACTCTCCCCTGTAAAAATTCTTCGCCTTTCTGAGCTGTTAGCAGCTTGATTGTGCGAGGTAATTTTGCAGGCCACGCGACCACGCTTTCGCCTTCGGCGTCCTACCGGGGCCCTAACTCTTCGAAGGCACGATTGAAGACCTTAGGAGAGCTCATCTTCAATCGCACGAAGGCGTGGTCCTGCTTTATCACACGTTCGCTTCAGAACCAAGCGGCGTGCGATTCCAGCAGCTAGCTGCGGTCGGTTTTTCTCCTTGAAGGCAGGCCGCTCGTGGCCTCTGATCCGTTCGAAAGGTTTTCCCCTCCCGCTACGCGTCGGCCGTTTCTGTTACCTGGTTTCTGGGGTGCAGACCGCGGCAGCGGTGTCGGCCTAGGCGCAAGAGAATCCTAGCTAGCAAAACCGAGGGTTGACCCTCGCCTTGCACTCGTGGCCCCCAGCTTTGTAAAGACGGTCATTGCTCACAGAGGCCGCGAGGGCGGGCAGCGCCTGGATCCCGCTGACGCGGAAGGGCCTCGCATTTCAGCGCCAAAGAGCCGAAGCTATGCTGGATGGACGCTATTTACGGTGGTCTTCAGGCCTATGTAAGGAGCCGCGTCCTGGTAGCAAGGCCCGTCGCAACGCGGATTGATGGATAATCCCAAGGGACCGAATAAGTCTACAGCCGGTGGTCTATGTTAGGAGAAGATGCAGTCTATAGCGCCTAGCCCAGCACGTCTTTTGTCCCGATAGGGAATACCCGCAAGACCTTAAATAAACACACACACACACACACACACACACACACACACACGCCACCAAACCATGCTGTGCTCTTTGTGGGTACAGTAGTCAATCTCGACGATGGGCATTCGCAGCTACTGGAGGGTGGTGCGGCCAAGTAGATAAGTCGACTCCATTCCCGATGCTACAAGGACGGTCGGTAGTTCTCCAGAACACAATAATACCAAATCTACGACTCAACATCTGTATCAACCGCCTCAGACCACACTTTTGTAAGATGCACAACGCCGAATGGCGCTTCAGTGCGACCGCGATTCTGACGTACATGCATCGACAGCTCCGTAATCTCGCCTATTAGACGCCAAGCCAAACACCCAAGATGATGGCCCCCAAGCTCAGCAACTTTATCGCGGTCATGCTCATGCTTCTCGGTCTCGTTGCCGCGCAGAGCAATAACACCGTCCGCTCTACATCGGTCAGCACTTCGGCCACGGGGAAGAGCTCCGTCAGCCCCGCTCCGACCAGTTCGTCCGTGTAACGGTCTCAACTCAGTGTATTGACAACTAGCTGAGCGACTGCAACGAGTATCCTAAAGCTGAGGAGAAAAGAAAGGAAGAAGAAAAAGAAGAAAGTTCGAGAACAGAACACGAGCTTTAAAGGGAGCTCCGGAGCCGATGTGGATCCCCGGTCGAGAGCGGAGCCGAGACCCACACGGGCCCAGCCCGTTACAGTCCGGGTCAAGCAACCAAAAGGCGTCTAGCACATCCGCAAGTGCATCCGCAAGCGCCACGAGCAAGAAGAGCGCGGGCAACAAAGCGGCCGACTCGACCCTCATCACTGTCTCGCTGGCTGCTGGTCTCGTCGTCTTCGGTGTCGCCATGTCCTAAGCGGCTGGGTAAATATGAAGGCCGTCACGGGCGCTTTTCGTTGAGCGCCGTGCAATGCCTGCTCTATCCATATTGGAGAGATCTGGCCACGGGTGATAACTTCAATAGCAACGTATAATCGAGATGGGAGGAATGCCATCAAGATCTTTACCATAAATGCAATACTGCCGTTTGCTGTCGCGTAAAAGCTGCACAATAATATATCGTGGGATTGTATCCATGTGCGGATGTAATTTGGGTGAGTTACCCAATTTGGATGGTCATCTTCAACGTTCTCCATGGTAAATCGATGTGATAGCATAGGCCTTATTGTCAAACTTGGGGCCCGCCTGGCCATACGACTGGAGGCTATGCATCGCTCTCGCGGTGAGGGCACCATCATAGCATGCTTGTCGAGATGCGACTAACAATGTACCGTCGGGGCCCGTCACCTCCAGACAAAAGTTCGGCACAATTGGAAGGTCGTGGTGGGTGGAAGGCATGATGGTGTTGCTCAAGTCTCGACGAACTGTCCGATCGAGTTACTCCAAAGTTTTCAGGCTTGTTTCGTCATGGGCAATGGGCTACGTATACTGAGTCTGATGTTGACCGATCGCTACTCGCTATTGCAAATGGCGTATCCGCGAAGAAGGCTTCCCGCGAATGGGGTGTTCCAAGGGCTACTCTTTACGACAGCATGCACGGCTGCGAATGCAGAAAAGATGCATTTTCTCCTCTTCAGGGACTTTCCCAACGTGTCTGAGGTACCGTTACAGCGGAGCTAGTATGATTGGCACGGCTAGTCCAGTGCGAGATTGACCTGGGCGGGAAACCGAAGAAGTTAATTGAACCAGAGCCCGCACGTGGGCCCAAAAGGCTGTCAACAGAATATGTACACACTGCCCCTATGATTGGGTTGATGCCTGGCCAACATTTTTGCTTCCCAACACGGACCCGGCGATAGTGATTCCGACATAAGCGCCAACCAAGGACAGGTTTATAACAGCGATGAGAAGAAGTCTCCACCTTTGGCCATGAGTATGCTCGATAAAACCGCAACTGTTTCTGTTTGTGATATTCTGGCCTATCATTATGTTATAAGCTTAACTTTGCCCTGTGAAGCTGCTCGGGAAATTACTGCTGTGATCCGTGCCTCCAATCCCCAATATCTGCAATGTCTACCGGAACATCGTAGCTCACGCGCCCACGAAGGTACGCTGCATGCCATCATTGCGTGGCCTGGACACATCTTTGAAACAGGACTGGCACTCAGTAATCAGCAACTTGCTAGTTCGAATGCTCGTATTGCGCTGATCCCTATGATCCAAAACCGATGCTTGCGTCATCCTGGTGTTGAACGACCCGTACTCAACCAATTTTGCGTGTCGAAGTTTATAAGGCCAGCTATGTGGCCACCGTGCGGACAGGCTCAGAGGCAAGTGCATTGCCAGACGCGTGATGCAAACGCCGCGCAGAGCTTGCGGACAGACCGTTCCTGCACCACCTACCAATATTGTTGCGACGAGACCTACATCACCCGACAAACGTTCGAAGCTCGACAAAGAACTGTCGCCGCGAGACCCAGCCCCTCTCCCGTGCGGTCAGTTTCGCCGACATGCCGCCCAAAGCCCATGCTGACACACGCAGGCCAACCATGAGCGAAGCGTCTATCATGCACCAGTCGGGCCAATACGTGTCGTTCTTGCCAGCAGCGGACGCGCATGACGCGGCAGGGACGGCCGGCGGGAGT